TGTGATGTTGTGTAATGTTGTAATCTATTGTAATGGCTACCAAGTCAGTCAGTTATTAGCGGAATCGAAATGCTCCCCCAGCTAAATGGAAGGGTCGAATTGCAGTAGTTTGAGGGGTGATCGAACTGTTAGTGAATGAGCTAGAGATTGCACTCCAATTGCAAGAGTTGGCAAATAGCCAACTATTATGGCTATTTGCCAGCAATTGCAATTGGAGCGCAGGTTCGGACAACTCGTCCAGCACGCGTCTTCTCTCATCGCTAAGGGCAGAGGGTGAGTTCCTGTTCAAAGCCTTATTCCGCGTTTTTCTTTGGTTTTTTCATTACTGTCGGTCAAATTGTGGGCTATAACTACATTATCAACGGTTTTTACCTCGTAAATTCGTCCTGGAACTGTTGCTTTAACATATTGAAAGGAAGGCGGTAAATCGTACGCTCAAAAGGGAGATTGATCTACGTGCTGCATTTTTCACCTTCTTAATTGCTGTGTTCAGCAGAAGCGTACAGCAGCAGTGTTTTTAAAACAAAGCTATTGTTTACGTTGAGCTAACATTTTACCCAGGTCAATCAAAGCCTTTGGGTCGAGTTACTATTTGGGAGCAAACTAAGGACTTAGATTACTAGAACATGGAGCGAACTCTAGTTGGGCGCAGGAGGTTGGGCAAATGTGGCTGCTTTAATTCTATCTACAATTATGCATAGAATGTCGGATTCGTGGCACAATCCAGTGAGATTGGTCAACACGTGAAAGCACGCTTTATGTGTCCTACAGAAGCATCACTGTCTTAGAAAATGAGTGAAATTCCAATCGTACTCATTCTAGACAAATTTGCTTTTTTGCAGGACTTAATGGCGCACTTCTCTGATAAGCAGTTACTACTCTGAAGATTATAGACCTAATGTGAAAATAACGCGATCTGGTGTCGTACCTGTCTGGGATAGATATCCTGTCCAATTGGAAGTTGTCCTGCGAGTCCAGATTCGCCAAAACCGACACCTACCTAAAAACAACTCACACAATAGTCATGATTCATACTGATAGTGCATGTGAGAATCTAGTGTGTCTCAAGTTCAACTTTATTTCCGTGTTTACTCTTTGTGGACATGTCTCTGTAGTGCATAGTACATAAATACATCAAAAAATGAATAAATAAATAAATAAAATAATTAACGGAATCAGGTTATTGCAAGTCGCTAGTACAAGGATCTCAATTTCGTGTGCATATACTAGCATTTCGTTGACGCTGGTTTGTCCCAGCAGGTCTATTTCTAAGCACACCTTACCACTTCTTTGAATGGAGCTTAAAAGCCTAGCATATCCCAAAAAGAACGACTGCGCTTAAATGCCTGTCATTCGAGAGCTTATTTGACTGAAACTGAAAAGCCAACTGACCCTCGCTCCAACTCGGACTGGATCGTTGCCAGGTACGCCAACTCCAACTCCAAAGCCGACGTCTAACATGCGTCTGATAGTATTAGGAAGTCTTTGATTTTTCAAGTCAGGGGTGTGCATGCGGCCCGGAAATACACTCCTTCAGAAAACGTGGAGGAACAGCGTCGGGTTGCAGGACCAGTGCATATACAAAGCTGACGTAAGCGCCTCATAGTTGATGGCCAATTTTTGATAAGGGATAGCGGGTAAGATTAAAGAGGACTGATTTAAGGAGTATAAACGGCAAAGGGCCAAATCATCTTCTCATTGGCCAGAAAAACGCATTGTTAAAGTTTGTTGGCGAAGGCCGTCGTCGATTTGATGTTGTCGATGGGTCTGCACCCGACTCTGCTGCTTCTGGTCGTTTTGAAAGAGACGGATTAAGCTAAGTGTTTTCGTTTGCATGGAATAACTTACTTATTGATCCGATGTCTTTCAACAGGCCATTACGATTCGGGTCGACCTCCTCATAGTAGGCAGTCGTTGTCTCGACCTTTTTTCCTAGGTCCTTCCGATGATTGCTGCTTCTCCTTGTCTTCAGATGGCCACTAAATGATGGCAGCTCTTACACTTATTCAAAGGGTCCTTTGAAACTCATGTGTTTAGTGTTTACTCACAGCGATAAAATACATGATGTAGTAATTACAATGCATAAAATGAAATTAGGCAAGGTATAAGACCTTCCCCTTTGGAAGACCTTTCCCCTCGGGGATCTACAGAAAATCTGTATTTTTAATCAATTTCAGCAAAGTACCTCAACCAACTTTTCCTGGAAACCCCAGCCATTACTCGACGAAAACAGTTCGTCGTCTGATTCAGCCTCATGTATTGCCTTCGACGGTTCCACTGATTCCGGTTGGTCAGTTGTTCTCGAAGGACGTCTATAATGTACAGATTTTTTTTAATAAAAATATTTGTAAATGGCTAAATGTTATGTAACTAAAAAATCAATAAGTAGGCGAATAACAGATAAATAAATAAGTAGTCAAACAAATAAATAAATAACTGAACGAACGAATAAATAACTTAAATGCTCACCGAACTCCTACATCTGGCGCAAAAGGATCTCTGACAACCCGATGATGTTCCCCGATTCCATCATAGGCCAACGCTGAAGTATGCATAAAATAGACCAGAAGAGAGAGATGAGCTAGTGGCAGTCAAGCGCCAGCGCTACTTGTACGGTCCGAAGAGCTGATACCCTTCAAACCTATCATACCGTTCCACTTATCACAGGTCAGTTACTGAGCCCCAGAAGATACTAGCGCGTTAGAACCGCTGGCCAATTCGCGCAAACCCTTGTATTGAGTGACTACGCATTCCAATACATATACGATTCTGGATGACGTCGAGTTCGTGGCGCATTCCGAAGTGGTCGGTGGAGGGCAAGTATTACATTTTTTCCCACTCAAACAACTCACCAGTTCCAACGAACAGGTAGGCGAAGGCAACGGTGTGAATGGCGGCCATTTATCACTGAAACTCCAGTGGAAGGGGAGAAGATGGTGGAAACCGGCTTCGGCTATGATCGCAATGGCGACTACAGCTATGTATATTGGAACAACACCATCTCTTGGCCACCTACGCGCTACTTTCCTTCTTGGGCGCATTCCCGTTGACACAACTTGTAAGTAACCGGTTACTCCCATGGAACCCTCTAGATTGGAAAACCAAGCCACGATGCTTTGGGATGCGGTGCTTAAAACTCCCCTCTAAGCACCACTTTCCAAAAAAGCTCCCCTCCTGTGGTGGCGCTTCTGCCAGAGCAGCTAACCATAGGAACAACAAGTGGGAGGACGGTTACGGTCTCTCTACGGGGTAGACATGGAGAAGTGATCTTTGTCATAGGGTGGCCGCGGGTGAGGGAGCGTAATTGTAAGTAGGTGCTGAGAAAGTGGTCGATATTTTCGGTATGCGCCACGCGTTCTACTTTCATTCCGAATTGTTGAGGCACACAAATGCGTAGTTAAACAGCACAAGTCTTACGAGGACCATTTTATTTAGCATTATTACCGATCCAGCCAAGTCCGCACAGAGCGATTCCTGAAGGGTTAAAAAGCGCGGTGGATTAGACTGAGGTGTTCGCATTTGACCCATCAATAAAGAAAGGGAGCGGGAGGGGCGGTACTTTGCTTCTACGAAGGTGCAGATAGAGAACTTACAAAAAATGCAATTTTGGTGGCTTATACTCCTTGGAGTGCGCTGGAATTGTAAAAAGCCTTTGGACACAATACTGATGGAGTGATGGGGTGGGTTCCCAGGAGTATTTATTA